AGGTAGCTGGACCATAAGCATCCACCAGCAAGCCACGCTGAACCGTCAAAGGATGGCGCCCCATGCAAGGCAAAAAGACTGACATAGTGTCGGGATGCTCAAACCGACAAGTTTTCATAATCATCGAATGGTTGGAAGTTCCATGAGCGTTCCCTTTGCACAATCAAACACTTGCTTCCTGATTACCCCGCAACGGATTCTCCGACACCAACCTACACGAGCTAGTGTCTTGAGACAAAGACTGTTGAACACCTGAAGACGTCTCCGTTCCGCTACTCGAACAGCCATGCGACAAAACAGCCCGTACTATAGTCTGATACACACGTCCCTTGAGATTCAGGGATATACCGCTTTGACGCATTAGGCGTTTCAACTTAGGAAACGCGACCCGAGCCTTACTGATTTGTGCGTTGACCTCATCTTTCACAGTACGATTGGAACTGATACGACTCCCAAGATACGTAAAACGCTACACAGCCTCCAGCGCGCCTCCTTGGATTGTAAGTGACCTGTCCAGTCACTGCCTGTCCATGAGCATGGCCTTACAGTTTGTGGGTGCAAAGTGCAAACCAAAGAACGGGATGACTTAGGCCAGTTCACCCAAAAATACCTGCGCCTTTGGAGACGAGAACGATGTCGTCTGCATATCCCAGCTCGACAAGGTTCTCGTCAGCGGCCATCTGAACACCGGGGTTTTGGAGACTTTCCAGCGCTCGTCTCATTATATCATCGACCACAAAATTAAATAGGAATGGAGATAGTGGGTACCCCTGACAGACACCACTTTGTGTACGGAGGCTTTTGGAGAGCTCTCCGTATACTCACGTCCGGGATTCTGAGAATACAAAGAACGTATTATGCTCACAAACTTCCGGGGCATTTTTTGATCGTCAAGCCTGTCAAAAAGAACAGACCACCGATGCCCCGGAAGCGTGACTGGTTTTGGACGGCGTCAGCGTTAGTAACGAGGTGATTAGAAAACGTATATTTGGTTGTGCGGCAGGTACTTTACTCGGGGCGAAAATCCAGCATCAGCGACTACGATGTCCCGGTCATGTGCTACTCATGCCAAACGGCCGTCTACCGAGACGAGTGTTCTCCGTGCCTCCTTCAGTATGGCGCAAACCGCGAGGTGAACAAGGCATGATTTGGCAGAAAGGCGTGGAAGAGATCACAAAGAGTTTGGGTGTTTTTGGTGTTGTACGCCTTCCAGGATGGGGTCCTCGTGACTCCGCCTGTGCTTGGCTGGAGACGTTGCAAGAAACGGCGGTTAATCGATGTCAGTGTCGTTCGTGCTGTCAGTTTCTTTCCAGATTGTCTGATTGAGCGGTTGGTGGTGTAGGCACCTCAAAATGCTTGACACAGGTCAGCACTATGTCCCCTCCTTCCCTCACTCTTTTTCTCTTCTTTTCGCTCCAGGTTTTTAAAATATAATCAAATGAACCTTATGATTCTACGGTAGTGAAGCATCAGTGTCAACACTGATGTTGCTGTCTTTTATGATGATCATGGTGGATACTTTTTTGGTGTTAGTGAATGGTATTATGTGGCATTATGATAAAAATTCTAGACCTTCATCACTGTTGTGAGTGACCGCACAAATGCTCCAAGAGGAGGGGCATACAGCGCAGTTTTCATTAGGTAATACATTTGTTCCATTCACAGAATCGGAGATTTTTTGTCCTGTGCCGTGGTCTGTTTAGTTCTGTGTTGTATTGTGTTACGCTGGTCTCTCGCCAGTAAACGAACGTTCTTATTTAACACCTACTCTACAGAATACCCTTATGTGGCAGAACAGCAGGTCTTGATTAGTTTGTATTTACTGGACCATGAAGTTTGTTTCTTTTTGAATGACACTGGCGTTCTGACATACGTTTCACTCTCTCCCATTCTTATTCTACCGTCACCAGCGCTATCAAGAAGGTGACGACTCCTGGGTATGCACAGACTGTTCAGTTATTTTCGTTTTTTGTTTGTTTACTGTCAATCGCACTATCTGCTTTGTAAATTAGTTGTGAAACTCCGCCAGTCGCGCTCATCGCTACTAATTTTTGCGGCATCTTAACATACGCACCGCCCAGTAGAAAGGATCTAATTATAGCCTTCGCGCTCCTCTCTTTGCCCGGTTTCGGCCCAACCTTCGCACTACCAATACCAATATACTGTTGATTCGGTTCGGTAAACGATTCTTATTGACAGACGAAATAGTAGTTGTGACTGTGCATTCCTATCCTGCTGCTAGTGATCACTATCGTGTACATTTTTGCACTTTCGGTGCATTTTTGTGTCACACTGGTACCGTGTTATGTATATACATATACACTTATCGGTCTTTCACTGTTTGACCCCATTACACTCAATAGCCCATCGTCTGACACACTTCCGATGACGGTTTTGTCAATTTAAAACGTGTATTCCTTCGAAGGATTTTCTTATTTATCCAGTCCTAAGGTACACACTAGTCCGTTATCCATTCTTAGTATTCGAAAGTGTTACTTATGCTGAGGAAATACTTCCGTTTTAACTGCGGTCGCGATTTTGAGTGGAGCGACAGTCCGTCGATGAATTATGTATTATATATCCTGATCATCGGAGAGGCGTATTGCTGGTAAGTGTCGCCACACCCTGTTCCCGAGCGAGTGGTTTTCATTTCGTTTATGGAGTCAGTCGTCTTGCTAAATCGATAATGAGACAAACTCTTCGACATCAGACATGGAGAGAAACGGATTTGGCCAGAAGAGCTTTGTCTGTGCTGTTGCTGCTCTGTCTATAACTAGCTGGTCTAGGAAGCCGATTAACTCATTTTTTGGCTGTAAGTTTCTGAAATTCAGAACACGCATATTCCGATCTTATTCAAGCAGAAACACCTCATTTACACCATTTTTGATTTTTCGTTTGAAATTAAACGAGAATGTGTGTGAAGTGATCATACAGACCAATAATGAAAGCAACTGCATTCATGTTGTTCGTTTTGCAGCAATCAATAGCCAGCCCTGTTTTACTATTAGCTGCTCACTTTATTGATTATAATGCTTCCTGATGAAAGTCGATCGATGAATGGATCGAATTCAGTTGCAGTGCAGCTTTATTAGCGATTGTCGCATTTTATTCGAATCATACTGAATAATTTAGGGATTGGAGAGCAAATGTCCTGTGCGGAAAGATGATTGAATGCAATAGTTTTTTTTCCAAAGACGTGAACCCCGTTATCAAAGATGGGGTGTGTAAAGTTCCGATTGACGTCGCTTGAAGTCACTTCTGATGAAAGGTGGTGGTTAGGGAAATTATTTCCGTCTCCTAGTCTGTGTTGCTTTGTCGCACCCGCGCAATCACGCCATAATTCGGTTTTTAGTTTTGGATGCAGCCAGATTTCCCACATTTGTTTTGGCTTCGTTTTCGGTCATCCACTCTTCTTAATTCCACTTAGTTTTTTTGCTTTATATCTCTGACTATCCGCGCCCATCTCATATCCGGCCTATTGGATGGCTTTTTGAAACAAGGGACTTTTTGGTACTTAAAAGTTGTGATACGTTAGGCTGTACCTGATTTTTGGGAGAACGTATATTTCCATTCCTCTTTTTCCCAGCATTTTGTGCAACGATCAGTTTCCTTGTGTGATTCACCAGTTCGTTTTTGTTTCATAGCGCGATGTTAAGTGTGTTAGCTTTCATGAATTTACCATTCACTCTTGGTCCAGTACTTTTAAGGTCCTTGCATAGAACAGGAGTCTTTCTGCCAATGTTTTTCGAAGACTGAATATAATGTAAAGCCCACTTGTAATGTGTTGTTCAGGGACAGGACCGCTTCACTGCACGCCTAATGAACGCTTGCAGTAGCTACCTTTCAGAATATTCCCGTTTTTTTAATGAAAAAAAGATGTTTGGGGGAAGTATGAAAGCTCGTTAGGTCCCATAATTCAGAAGGTCACACCGCTCAGTAAATAATGTGAAACGAGTACTTTTGACCGGATTGATATTCAATCACAAAACGCCTGGTTGATGACCTAGGGACGGCGGTGTGTATGTGTGGTCGTTGAGTCTGTAAGTTTATGGCGGTAAGCACGCATCCTCCGGGACCCGGTGCGAACTGAGGGTGATCGAGCTTGCATACCAGTCATTTATGGTGTCAAATAACAGAATCATTACGTGATCGAGCTTGCATACCAGTCATTTATGGTGTCAAATAACAGAATCATTACCAGATGACGCTGGTCCCAGCGACTGCATCTATCTGATTTTGCGTAAATAACGGAGTAAGCTTGTCTTACATCCACCACGTGGTGGGTGCCAGCTGGATGTGGTAACATTAAGTTGGCGATGGCCATCTTCGTCCTAGCATCAAGCCAGCGTGACTTATATTCCCTCATTTGCTTACCTAGTTACATAGTCATGCGTCCAACCGATTCTGCTGCACTGCAGCAAGAGCACTGGTACTCTGTGGCATGTTGGGTACGGACGGGCACTCTTTCATTAGTCATCAAGTGTACTCCCGAGGGTCCTGTCCGATGTGTAGCTGCAGGAAACGTCCTATTCAGGTTGTTATAAATTCACCGTTTGATTAAGTTGCCGAAAGATAGACTTTTGTAGACTGGTTACCTCTTTGTGGGCTGTTTCATGTTGCACCGTCACGAAGAGACTGGACCTTACCGTGGTG